CTAAATTGTATTTGTTTATGAATTGAATATAAAAAAATATTTGTTATCATTAAATAAACTTTTAAATAAAAATATAATCGAATATCTAAACAAATAATAATTAAACTATTTATTAATTATTTAGTCCACGTTCACCCCTATTCAGAGTATTCTTGAAGAGCTAATTCTTCTTTTGAGCTGTCTATGTGCCTGTTAGCTGTTATCAATTATCATCCTGTTTGTTTACTAATGTAGACGCGGCTGTTCATTAAAAAAAATCAATCAGAAGCGTGACACGACCCAATTTCTCCGTGCTTCCCTTCTGTTGGTGATAAATTGGAGAAAATTTATTAGAGAGTTTGCAAATCACGAGAACCTCACTACACAATTTCTTTTGTCAATTGACGGGTGAATGATAGTGCCTAAAAAATTCGAACTGAAGGATGTAAATGCTTTATTTAGACTCATGCTAGCGCGTTGAATTAGACTTATCCCGTTTTTCTCATGAAAAATGTATAGAGAGAGTTGAGACGTGTAGTTGACACTTGACAGCATTTTAAATTTTTTTCCCCAAACATTCCATGCTTACTATTTGATTCGTTTCCTAGATATAGAGAAATGTATTTTCATGTACAAAAACACAAGTTTTGAGTTTTTCAAACTTTTCTAAGAAATAGATTGTTTCGCTTTGGTTCGCCACAAGTTTTGAGTTTTTCAAACTTTTCTAAGAAATAGATTGTTTCGCTTTGGTTCGCACAAAAAAAATGGTGGGAAACCAATATTTTCAAACTTTTCTAAGAAATAGATTGTTTCGCTTTGGTTCGCACAAAAAAAATGGTGGGAAACCAATATATTTATTTTTCTTGTGTTTGGTTCGCATGGAAAAAAAAGAAATACTTTTGTTTATATGGCAAAAAGCTGATGTGGCTGCAGTTTTCGTTGATTTCATGAGATTTAGAAAGGAATTGGGGAAGAGAAAAAAATCTGATGTGGTGGCGATTTTCACCGAGTTTCCCTTCTTCAACCCTAGCGAACCAAAGATGAGAAAAAAAAACAACGGAAAACTTATATCCTACGTGATCACGAAAAATCTGATGTGGAGGCGGTGTAAAACTTTTCCACCGAGTTAAAAAAACGAACCAAACAGCCCCTTAAGTTAAATGTTCCGAATGGTTATCCCAAAATTTGGTTGTTCTCTTTTGTTTTTCTTTTTGTCAATAGCTGTTTACGTTGAAAAATTAATTAGGATTATTATTATAAAACTAAAATTAAACTTTCAAGATTAAGAGAACTTCTCTCGGTGTGATCGAGATGAGGGGGAAAATTATCCTTAAGAGTAGATTTCGCTCATTGAAGAATATCTCTCAGTCGATCCGGAGGTAAATAATATTTTTTAGAAGAAGTTCGATCATGCGAAAGTAGAAATTAAAGGGAGAGAGTATTTTCAGACAAATTCTAAGATGCAACTTTGAAGGATCATATCTTTTGACTCGCTTCATAGAATCTTTATTATTTTTGGAAAGATCATGATGCGCTCTATACATAAAACTAATTTGCGGTTACGTGTTACTTTTATCTTTCTAGTTTTTATGAAAAGTTTTTTTTTATTTTAGGAAGTCTAATTGTTTTAGTAAAAGTTATTTTAGTATTTTTGCTTTGTTTAACATCCTATAAAAGGGGAACAAATTTGTAAACTCTTTAGATTGATTATTATTAATTTCAAAAGTTTTTTATTCATTGGGTTTCTAGGGTTTGTACCGTTTTACTTGTACTATATCATCGGTGTAGCAAGTATTTGGCGGCCTACCCTGTAAGGTTCGATGTTTGCTGGACGAGCAAGCATGCACTCGCAATGAGAGGAGAAGAGAGTTAGAGAGCAGAAAATATTGAGATCTAGTCACCCACCCACACCCGGCAATGGCTTCGAGACCCGGATTGGCACCCCCTGCAAGCGTTATGTAGGCACACATGATATTTTCTGAATCTGGTTGTCCATTTTCCTTCATTGTACTCTATTGGGCTTGTGGGCGTGGGAGGATCCCTCTGCTCCTAGGCCCCTTCAATTCACTAAGAAACAGACATCAAATTTAAACACTAAGGGGCTGTTTGGATTGATTTTTTGAATAGGTAAAAGAGGGGAAAACTTTCAAAAATGTCAGTTTTTTGGCAGCTTTCCCCCAAAATCACCTCTATAAAAGGTGATTTTGGGGGAAAGCTGTCAAAAAGCTGATATTTTTGGCAGCTTTCCCCCATTTTACCTATCTAAAAAATCAATCCAAATAGCTCCTAAGAACTTTTTCTCACTTTTCAATGTGGAATTAAAGATAGTACTTTGTTTTGAAATACACCCAAAATTCCAATAGTTTGTATAGTATTTATTGCTATCAATTTAGTGTTAAGATGCTTCCTAGTTCAAAAGGGGGAATAAAAAGGAGGAGGCTTTCCATCTACATTTTTTTCCGCCGACGGAATCATGAATCCACATTTTTTCCGCCAACGGAATCATGATGCTTATGACTGGAAACTGAAAGACCAAAAGACTATCTTTGTAGTCAAAATTATTATATAAAAAAACTACCTGTAACCGCATGCACTTTTTAAACACTTCCATACAACTACACTTAAAGTCTTAAATATTGTCCGGTCCTCAATGACTTGTCAATTTGTTAGCAATCTAAGTGAGAGAATCGTACATTTTGTGTGTAATAGTATAGAAATGGTTTGGAGCCAGAGCGCATTTTTACTTTTTAGTTAGAATTATTCATAAAAAACCAACTTAAGTCAAACATCGATCTATGAATGGAGGATCTAGCTGGCAAGCGAGGTTGCGTACTGTTTCAAAATGATTGTTATTTTTCAAGTTGGTATTGCAATTAAATTCAATATGACATTCAAAGTATTGGATACGCGGCGTTGTCTGTGACTGTGAGCACAAGCGGAGTCCAATCATCCTTCAAGATAGGGGTGGGCAAAAACCGAAAAAAACCGGTTCAACCGAAAAAACCGCCCGAAAAAGCGGGCCGGTTAACCGAACCGGATTAAATGGATGAGAAGAAGACTCTAAACCGTCCGAACCGAATTAAACCGGTTTGGATCCGGTTTGAACCCCTGAACCGCCGAAAAAAACCGAACCGAATTTTCTAATTCGTTCTTTGTCGGATATTCATATTGCTCAAAATGAGAAGGACTTCATCGTTCGGAATTCGGTCAAAATGGAAAGGACTTTTGGTTCGGACGAAGTCGGATGGAATAGCTTTCTTATTAGTGAGTCATCACTTGAACATTAAGCTATATAATTGCTCGGTAATTTGATTGTTATGTTTACATACATGTTTATATTGTATAGTTCCTTTTTCATTGGGCCTGCTAGCGTATATGCCCACATTAAAATCGGTGAAACCTCATATA